AGGTTTGAGTTTTCCAAACCCTGTATCCTTTCTGCCCCATTTTTGGACCATGTGTTGGTCCTTTCAGCATGCTCCTCTTGGTGCACTGCCGACCACTCCCTACCACTGCAGGCCTTGCTTTTGTCTCTGCCTGCTATTGATGAAGCCTGCCCGCCATCAATGAGGCACTGCTGGCCACAACTGATGGCCGGCAGAACACTTTGTCTCAGCAGATTTCACTCCAGATCTTTTGAGCCAGTTGGTTTTCACTCACGCTCCTCCATACACGTGTATGGAGGGATGAAGCCCTTTCCAAGCTTGTTCAACAAGCTTTGCTTTGCATGCCTCTTTATAAGGAGAGGCCCCTCCTCCCCAGCAGAGGTTCAGCATTTTTAGAGAAGATATCTCTCTCTATATATATTTCTCACTCTCTCTCTCTCTCTCTATATTGTATTGAATAGTCTCCCAAAGTGTGTTTTCTCTTCACTTTTGCAAAGGAACACTAAGTGATACACCACCATCTTTGAGCTGAGGTTCTTGGGAGTGTTGTTTGAGCTCTAAAAGTTGGTTTTTGGCCTCAGAGTTTGCTGGTTTCGAAGTTGAGCTTCAAGGGTGAGTATTTTCCCTTTTTTAGCATTTGTTTGTATCACATTTTGGCCATCCTTACATGTTGTTTTAGGCCTTGCTTTCAACTGAAAAAAGTTCTGTATTTAAGTGCTTTTGATGGTTGTTTAAGGCTTCTTTAGTGTTGAGGGTGTTCTACCCTCTTGTGTGCCTTGTTTAGCCTTGTTTTGTGTCATGTCTTAAGGCCTTTGAATTAGTCTTTGTTTGGCCTTTTAGCCACTGAAATCCAGTGGATTTTCAGTGGTAGGCATGTGGTTTTGAGGCCTCAAATCAGAGGGGATGACCCCCCTCTCTTTTTTGTTTTGTTTTCTTGAGTTATTGGCCTATCAAATGAGCATGTATCTCTATACTTTTGAGGCTTAGTTCAGGCACTTTTTTGTGACTTTTAGAACCTGTCTTAACTTTGTCCATGGCTGGTTTGGTCATCTTATGCATGCTTTTTGTATGTGTAGTGTTATCCCATTTGTAACGCCCTCAAAATAATAACATTAAACCCATCAAACAAGACATGCATTGTTATGTAAAAGTTCCACATTCTTCCATTTATCAGAATTCCATTACATAAGTATTACATGTTAACAACAAAAGCAAATGCCCTATGGGCTTACAGCTTTCCAAGTTAACACTTGGTTACAACAAAAGAGTACTAACTCGTTTACACATTAAGCTCTTGGCTTGAATTTACATGTAATACATCAAAAAGTAAAACGACAAAAGTATGTCCGCCTCTTGCCTCCCAAGCTATGTCCTTGGAGGTGGCATGCTACCTGTACCTGAAAATGATATTCCCATATAGGGTGAGCCACAGCCCAGTAGAAATACACTAAACCAACCATGAACAATGACTAAAAGATTAGCAATTGATAGATGGCCAACACTGATACATCCGCATAAATCACATTTTATGTCATACGACTTATGAGTCCAAGTTACTTTTCATTTTCCCCTTTTTAACAGATGAGCATATTAGCTCTATCATCATCTCAACAGATATGTATAAAAACTATATCCCACATTCACAGATAAGCATATAGAATATCCACATTCTCAACAGATATGTATAAAAACTATATCCCACATTCACAGATAAGCATATAGAATATCCACATTCTCAACAGATATGTATAAAAACTATATCCCACATTCACAGATAAGCATATAGAATATCCACATTCTCAACAGATATGTATAACAACAATATCCACATTCACAGATAAGCATATAAGCTATATCCACATTCTACAACAGATATGTATAACAACAATATCCACAGATAAGGATAAGCGCATTGATAAGCTGCCCTTGTTTCATTGCATTGTGCATGCATGCATTACATTATATTTAGAATCTTAAGTTGCTTTGCATTGAATATGCATGCCATTGAGCATTGAGTATGCTTATCTTACATCGCATTGTGCATGCCATGTAATGCATAGCATTGAGTATGCCATGTAGTTGTATGTTTGCATGCTTAAGTCATATTGCATGTTTGCCATGCTTGTGTTGCATTGTTGTTTGGATTAAGTATTAATCTGAACACGAGAAACGAAGGACGTTTCATACTTCAAGTGATGAAATGTGCCACGATTCTCGGTCGCCGAAGCTCTTGACGATGCATGATAGAGTTCTAGGCATTTATATGTTTCTTATGCATTCATTTTACATTGATTTGCACATGTTGGATCATTGGCCATCATGCATTGAGATGCGTGATTGATGGTCTTGGATCCAATTATGCCTCTCTCTTGATGTTTTGAGGTGATATAGAGTGGCATAATGCATACATATCCTTGGGAGACCCTCCATTTTATCTATTTTGTGCTCTGCTGCAGCTTGGTGTCACAGCACACCAGTGGCCGGCACCCTCTTGTTGTTGGCCGGCAGTCCTTCATTCTTGGCCGACAGTACCTGCTCTTGGTCGGCAGGGGGGTCGGCAGAAGCTCCTCATGGTCGGCAGGCCACTGGTGCACTCCTTAGCACTGTTTTGGTAAGTTTCAGCAGCAAGCACTAGAAGACACCCTGCAAACAGAGCCTTTAAAGAGCATTTGGAGAGCTTTCGGGACAGAAACCGAGCATGCATCTTCTACCTCTTCGAGCAAAGCTGGAGCAGCTTAGTCTAATGCTTACTTTGTTAGTTGGCTTCAATTTGTGATTCAATTAGTTAATTTGTTAATTAATTAAGTGTTGTAATAATTAGTAAGTAGATTTGCTTATTATTCAATTTGGTTGTGTAATAATTAATTAGCTTGTTAGTTAGTTAATTAGTTGGTTTGTATTATTTATTCGGACCCTCCGTCGAGAGGGCGAATTTTGTAATAAGTGTGCGTGTGTGTGATGCATGTCTTCCAACCCCCATTTCTTTCTCCATTTTACTTACCAGCTTTCAGTGGTTAGTTTTATGGCATATTTCAATTAGCATCCTTATGCTTGCATGCGTGCATCCATTCATCTGTCTTGCATGCACCGGGCTCGATGCATCATACAAACTGCATTGCATTTCAATTCCGATTTGAATACATGATTATCAAGCTGCATTTCACATGTCATTCTAGAATAGCCGAGTCTATTTTAGTTACATTCTCGCATGCGTTGCATTAGCCATCTTAACATGAACTAGGGTCATGCATGACTTCTAACTAGTTCTTTGTTTTGGCTCGAAGTACACTGTGAGTGTTTACGCTTTAGCACACTGTATGTGTGTTATTGATTGACATGGCAGCATGCTTACCATGAGGCTATTTGCTTAAATGATATAACTGCCTGAATGTCTATGGGTGAAGGTTGGATTACTTGAATTGGAACAATTCATCAAATCCCTGATTTAGCCTATTTGCGAGTAGCAAACTTCAAACCATTTTCAAACAAACGGATATGCAATGTTTTGTTCCAAATTAGGCGATCTAGTCTATACTTGTTTGCTGTGTGTATCACGTAGTAAGATTAGCTAATTAATCAGAATAAGAGCACATGTGTTTTCAAAAATAAGATATCATGTTAGTAAAGGCCGATCTTTGATCGGGCGAGCGGGGGTGCTCATTGCATGACCTTCTCCTCTCGTACCCAAGTTCCCGAGCCGAGGCAACTTTGGTGATGACGGACACATGGCCTTAGGCACGAGTCAGGATTTCCTAAATTCCCCAAAACAAAATATTTAGGTGACGACTCTATATCTGGAAAAACAGTCCATATGTGGCACTTCTTTATAAAAATCAGTTTTTCAAAACGATTTGTCGAATTTGGACTCTTTGGTGATTTATCGGTCTTGCATTGCACTTTACGAGATTAGATTCAGAACCGTGACATAAGTCCAAACTGTAGTAGTAAGCTCAATGAACAAAATCGAATTTTCGCGCCAATTTCACGTGCGGGGCCCGTGGCGTTCGGGCGCGTCTACACTGTCAAAACACACACTCACACACAGCATCACATAACATCACAGATTCCTGGGCAAAGACACACACACACAACATCTACTATTGTCAAATTTTAGTTCCAAAACTGAATCTAAATTCATCAGGTGGACTGTGACCTTTTACCTCATGTATTTCGAACCTTCTTGTCGGGGACGGCGGGGTAGGGCATCAGCATCGGCGTCGGCGGGGTGGGACGACGATGCCCTCCTCTTTCTCTCCTCTCACTAAATCGAAGAAGGTATGGGTTTGTTGCAAAACAAAGACCTAAAATGGGAAAGGAGGATGAAGGAGCAGGAGATGAAGGGAGGAAGACAGGAATAGAGGGTCGAGTTTGGGTCTCCGGCGAGGGAGAGGAGAGGTGGTCGGTGGTCATCGCAAGAGAAGAGAGAGTATCGTATGAAAAAGATAGGAGGAAGAGAGAGATGTATCTGTGAAAGAGAGATGTATTCAAGAACAGAGAGGGAGAGGGAGAGGGAGAGAGAGATAGAAAGGAAAGGTGGGGAGGTAGACGTAGGTAGGTGGAGAGAAGTCTTGGGCGAGAGATCTATTGATCTGAACCATTGATATAAACTTGGAATTAATCTCAGCCATTAAATTAAAATGTATCTCTCATACATTTTATATATTTTCAAAAACTCTCTTCCCTTATTATATAGATTTTATAATTTAATATATATCATATAAAATTATTATATGATAATTTCACTTTTATAATACAATAGAACTAAAATTATTAAAAATATACAAATAATTTAACTAAAATTAATATGTACATATATAAGTATTCAAATAATAATTTTATAAAACAATAGTGTCAATATTATCAAAATAAATAATTAAAATTATATTTTAATTTTAATTTAAAATTAAATTATTCTTTTATAATATATATTGCACCATTAATTTTTTAAAAAAAAAATAATAATAACACGTCCATTTATACAGATCAACGACTAGTTATAAAAATGAATTAGAGCGTGCGACCCGGCCCAGGGTGGTCTCTCACTGTCCCTTTCGAATCGTTTACAATGCTGAGATTGGGCTCAAATTTTCTGCGGAGAACCCTAGCTTCCCCGAACCGCCAACGAGACTGGTTCGCACGCTGCATCACCGGTTCAGCCTCGAACCCGGCCCTGTCGATATGGAGGCGCAAGAAGGAGATGGGCAAGGAAGGGTTGATCGTGGCCAAAGAGCTCAAGAGGCTTCAATCCAACCCGGTTCGGTTCGACCGGTTCATGAAGTCCCATGTGTCTCGCCTTCTCAAGTCCGACCTCTTAGCCGTCCTCGCCGAGTTCCAGAGACAAGACCTCGTCTTTCTCTGCATCAAGGTTCGTAGATTTTAAAATTTTCTTTTTGTTGTTTGTTTGCTGAGAAAATGTTGGTGGAGAAAATATAATTGATGGAATAAAAAAATGAATTTTCTTTTTCTTTTTGTTTTTTTGGATTGTTTATGTTAAAACTATATATTTGGTTTCCAAGAAAATTTAGGAATAGGAAAGCAACAGGATGTGAAATTGGGCATCTTTCTACCTCATGTCCTTTCCTTTTTTCTTTTTTCTTTTTTCTTTTTTCTTTTTTGTGTGGAGTGGATGCAGCAAAATGTGGAGTGGAAGTATGGCTACCCTTCAAATTTGATTGCCAAAAACATTTAGGTAGTGTTTGGTGAATGATCATTCTATCAAAATATTCATTCAGGTAGACTAAAAAAATAATGACAAATGCATTGCAAATGAAATCATCTTTTACCATTTTAAAAGAATGGTCATTCCATAGGAAAGCTGGAATCACCATTCCCTCTCATTCCAATGAACCAAATACAGCACTAGTAACCTCTGTTTTTCACAGTAATGTAGGAAAAGAGAAAAAAAAAAAAAAAGAATGTGAAATGTCATTGCTCACCGATCTTCGGATCTTTGTTTAGTTGCTGGGAAAATCTGATGAAAGATAATATGTTTTTTTTTTTAATTTTTAAAAAGCAAAAGGATTGAATTGTGTTGGAATCTTTAAGTTATTTAATTGAAACTACTAGTAGATTTAGGCGACATGGAATGCATGTTTGAGTACTACAGAGAACAATAATTGTTGATTTGTAACTGCTTTGGGGGTATCCCGAATATCCTCATCTTATTACATTTGTATAAGAGCATTTGTTGTAATGTGTTTTTAAAATTAATGTTCATGGAAGAGGATGTGTTCATGTTTACCAATATATTTTAAGATTGTCCTCACATAATGCACCAAAATACCAATGGGCTAGGGTGGAGCCCTTACACAACTCAAATATTATGGATACATTCATGTATATTTCGTGTATGATTTAGTTTGTGAAAATAAAAGATATCAATTCCTCATTTTACTTTTATTTGGAATTAGTTGCATACAATTTAAGGCTGTGATATCAATTTTTCATTAATTCACTAGCCGACACTTTACGGTAGTGCAAGGTTGTGTGCCACGTGCCTTGAACAGTTACCAAAGAAGCCTGCCAAAGAATACTAGCGCACGCACACACCCACAGTGCACAAGTGAGCAACAAATAAAGGTACAAGATAGCATGCAACATAGAAGCACAATAAACCAACAAGGAGCACACTTGAAGGCAATAAAAGCACCTTTATTAATGGAGCAAGTATCCAGACAACAGTTAGAAAGGCGGGGCATGTAAGCTAACACAATGCACAAGGGCTTGGACCTATGAAGCACGAGCACCTCTCTAGAAGCATAGTATGGGTGTCCGACACAGACACGTGGTGGACATGTGTCGGACACTCTACCTAACGTGTCCCTTTTTTTTCTTTTTTTCTTTTTTGAATTTTTGTAGCAAGGCACGCTTGGGACACTCTTGAACACCTTAAGGACACGTTTGAGAGAGAGAGAGAGACCCTAACCCATTGAAGACAGAGAGGTTGAAGCCCTAGATCGAGGTATCTTCTTCAAATCTATTCTTCTATTTTCTTCTTTTTTCATCCTTTCTTCTGTTCGTCTCTCTCTGTCACTGTGTCTGTGTGTTCAAATCTGTTCTTTAATCTTCTTCTTTTCTTCATTGTTCTTCTTCTTTCATCCTTTCTTCTATTCGTCAATCTCTATTGTTGTGTTTGTTTGTTTGTTTGTCTCTCTTCCTCTCTATCGTTGTGTTCGACTCCCTCTCTCTCTCTCTCTTTTCCATTCGTTTTTTCTTTTCTTCCCTCCCCCCTCTCTCTCTCTGATGAAATTTTTTTTTATAGTTTTTTTTTTGGGTAACAAAAACCTTTCTTTCCTCTTTTTTTCCTTTTTTTCTTTTTTTCTTTTGGATATTCTTGTTTGCTAAATATTAACATACATAGAATAAATTATTTGTATTTGTAGAAAACAATTAATTTGTGAATGATATTTGATATTAAAGTAAATAAATAAAAATAAATAAAAATTAGGGCCGTTAACAAGACCGAATCACCCGACACAACCAACCCAGAACGACCAGACCGACCCTTTCACGAACGGTTTCGAAAAGCTCTCGATTGGCAACGGTTCAAATGCATCAAAATTCTGCAAATTTCGGTCGGCCATCAAATTGCACACAACATAAACCGTTAAACCCAACCCAACCGAACTATATATATTTATTTATATAGTGCAGTGGGTTACATGCAGGGGTGTGCGTGGTACGGTTCGGACGGTTTGAGAGTAAAATTACAAACCGAATGGCGGATTGGCAGATTAGCAAATTAGCAGATTAAAGAATATTCTAACTAATTATCATACATTTGCATAATATACAACACTAATTTGTATAATACTTTTTAGATACATAACACAAAGTAATTTTACATAATATGTTTCATATATATAATCACTAATTTGTAATAAATTTCATATCTTAAATCTTTCTCACACTCATTTTTACATTGATATTTCATTGGAAGTTAAAAAATATATATGTGTGAACTATAGCGGAGCAGTTCGGTTGGCGGATTATAAATTTTAAAGTTTAAACCGCGGTTAGCGGTTAAAGCAGTGCGGATTGATGCGGATCAGTGCAGTTTTAGCAGATTGGGCGGTATTTTGCATACGTATTGAAGCAGCAGATAGTGTAGACCTCCTAGGGAATCCCTAAGGTTACAGATTATCTTCCCAAGATCTGTCTCATCCCCCCAGAATCTGACATCTCCTCTCTCATGAAACCCTTTCGTCTCCTCCACTCAGCCTCATCATGTCTGTCTCTATCTCTCTCACCCTCTCATCTACCCTCTTCTCTCTCAAGTTTGAGATGTACCAAACCCAAAACCCAAAAGCCATTGAACCCTCTCTCTCTCTTTTACCCTTTCATCATCTTCGAGTCTTAGATCTACCGAAATCAAAACCCTTGTGCCGGAAGATCAAGAATCGTACATGGCGGTGATGTATAGTAGTGATGACGGTGACATTGTGCCATGGCAGAAAGATATGTATCTTCTCTCTATTTTCAATTTTTACTTCATTCTTTGTAGTGTGTGAGAGAGAGTTTGTTATCTCTGAGATTTGTATAATTTGCTACTGTGATTGTGTTGTGTTGCATATATGTATGGTACTGTGATTTGTGTGAGAAAGGAAGGGACAAAAGCCATGGAATTGAAGCAATAAATGGAAGATTAGTGGGCCGATAACTGCCTGCCAAACCGAGTGCCCGATGTCCACGGTTTCGAGCAATGTTTGGGTCGAAATCAAATGACCACTCCTGTAAACCGAGGTCGGTTCGACTGACGGTTCAGTGTGAAACCGACTCGACTCAACTCGTGAACAACCCTAATAAAAATAATATATATTTTTAAATTTTGCATATAATAAATAAAAATATAGATATTGAGCGTGTCTCTAGCGTGTCGTGTCCTCATTTTTTGAAAATTTGTGTGTCAACATGTCCGTGTCCATGTCCTATCATGTCCCGTGTCTATGTCCGTGCTTCATAGGCTTGGACTCACCTCGCTTACACTCCCTTATATATGTTTTCTAAGCCATTACAAAACAGACAGGAGGTAACATCAAATTGTTTGAACAATCATAGTGGGTCTTAAAAAATAATTACAAGAGATTTGCTTGAACCGGTTGGAATACAACTATATGACCCTAAACTCCTTTGGAAAAATTACAACACATCTTCTTGATATGGCTCTGACACAATTCTTCGGTCCACCACCCTTTTCATTGGAAAATCGACACATGCTCCTACTACAAGATGTGCATAATTGGACACTAGTACCTATACAAAAAGATTTGGGTTGGCAAGAGACAAGAAAATAAGGGCATGGTCCCATGCTTGAAGCTTGGCTTGTGACACATTGCAAAGTGAAGAGAAAAATGCCTAGCTAAAAAGAAGAGGGAGAAAAAGATAAAGAAAGATTAGATGTGCCAATCATCTTGAACTTATTGGAAAACCCTGATTTATTTGGTTAACTTTATTCCTCCATCTTCAGATTGCCCAAATTTTCTTTCTGACATTGAATAGAAGTGGTGATAAAGGATTTTCTAGTATGGTAGTCACAGGTTTGTTTGCAACCCACTCCTTAAGATCAGGTTCTTACATTAACTCTAATGGATAAAAAATTGATTACCTTACCTAGAGGCTGCTGCGTTAAGAGAAAATTGTTTCTGGGAGAGCTGCATTTATTCAAAACCATTATCTTACAATGGATTTTATAAAGCGTCGTCTATAAATTAAGTTGGTTGGAACGGAATAAGCGAGTTTTTCAGAGTGTGTCTCATTTGGTTTCTTGTTTAGAGAAGCAGTTTCTTATGGTGTTACATAGTTGGGTTATGGGATCGGTTGATTTAGATGTTTTGGCTTTTGTAAATTTTGTGGATAATTTGATTTCTTCGCTTTGCTGGGCCTTTGGGGGTCGTCTTTTTGTGTTCTTTGCATCATCTCGATGTTTTTCTAATAAAGTTTGTTTAAACCAAACCAAACCAAACCAAGCCTTAAGTCCTATCAAATAGGGTCGGCTACATGAATATTTCTTCTCCATGCAGCCCTATAAAGTTTGTTTATTTATCAAAAAAAAAAAAAAAGGTTAAGTGGGCTGTACAGTCAGTGAGACACATTCTCACATTCCTGTTCACCGGCACCCATCCACCACTATCTCCTTCGTAAAACAAAGACAATAAGTTGAAATAAAAAAAATGTTTATATTATGATGAAGAAGTCTAGTGAACACAAAAAATGGAAAATAAACAATTTGAGCGTTCCCCAGATGAGACTTCTCAATACTTTCAATTGAAAATGGAGGAGGTGGGCGAAAAAAAAAAAAAAGTTTTGAGCGATTCTTTGGGTAAGCCATGTATAGTGGTTACTAATTACTAGGGGGGTGATAACTCTAGGCCCGTTGCTTTTATCCTCTACTGTTGAATATTATTTTGAGACATTCTTTGGTAAAATCCTCCTTGTAGCTCTAGGTTTGTGCTCCTGAACAAGAAAAGAAGAACATGCAAGAGAGTGCTCCCATTTGAGGCTCAATAAATACTTCCGGTCTGAAATTTTGAGAGGTGGAGAAAGGCCAGTGGATGGATCACCAAGACCAAATAGTCATGGTGTGAATGTTTCTATAAAGGGAATGACACCTCTAGATCTATACATTTACCCGTATACATTTGAATGGCATTTGATGAGTCATTCTTTGTAAAAATGCTCCCCTCAGCTGTGAGCATTTGCATTGTCCAGATAGCAGTTAACAAGAGGCTTGAGTTCAGATCAGCTATTAAGGGAGAGGTCTACCTAATGATTGAAATTGTCTAGACCTCTTAATATGTAATGTCAGATTACCTCTAGCTGTTGGTTCCCAACGTTTCTGAATATGTTCTTTGTGGAGTGACAAATCACAGCATGTCCACATGTTTTGCTGATTTTTTAGATACGATATTTCATGAAATAGTTCTGTTTATATCATTCTGGCTCTGATACTCCGAGTCTCCTGAAATCATCCATCCGGAAAAAAAAACTCACTGTTCCTATTTCAGACTGAACTCCAGACCCAGTGAATTTCTGGGTTTATAATTGATCTAACCTGGGCTTTCTGATTATTCTGCCTTTACTTTTTCATACAATTCATTACTCAAATTTTATGCTGAAATTCAAGTGAGAAATTTGATTGAATGTATTTTAATTCAATGAAAAATTTATATACCGTCTCATACTTGAAGTTATTGCCTATGTTTTGCTATAATAATTGTTTCTGATTTCCTCTTTAAAAATTAGTAGCTTACTAATTCAAGCAAGTAGAACATGCATTGTGGTGGACTGTAGGTCAAATATTAGCTGTTTTTGACATTCATATTTCATTCTGCAGTTGTATGATGTGGTGCGTAAAGAAATATGGTATCGACCAGACATGTTCTTCTACAGAGATATGCTTTTTATGCTTGCAAGGAACAAGAAAGTGGATGAAGCAAAGCGGGTGTGGCAAGATCTGAAGCGAGAAGGAGTTCTTTTTGATCAGCATGCCTTTGGTGACATTATGAGGGCATTCTTGGATAGTGGATTGCCCTCAGATGCAATGGACATATATGATGAAATGAGACAATCTCCTGATCCCCCACTTTCTTTGCCTTATCGAGTCATACTAAAAGGACTCATTCCATACCCAGAATTGAGGGACAAGGTGAAAGATGACTTCTTGGAGCTTTTCCCAGATATGGTTGTGTATGACCCACCCGAAGACCTGTTTGAAGATCAGGAATGGAGAAGAGAGAATGAAGAGGATTAGAGGATGCTACAATTCACTGTCATTAGCTCACCTTGGACTTTCCTAGGGCAATAGCCATTGATAGGACTGGATGCTTAGTAGACAAGATTGGAAAGTTGTTGATGAGTTACTACAGATATATGCTTCCAAATGATACTAACTTACTCCAGTAGAATGCTTGCGCTTAGGAGCTTGATCTCCAAGAAATTAGGGGTGACATGATGAGATTCTCATTACTTGAAGCATGGTTAGGGCAGAAATTATCTAGTAGGTACGGTGCACCACGTGTCTGTCTGTGTGCCAATCCAGTAACGCCTTGTGTTTTTTGTCTCATTTTTCAGACCCTGTAAGTATTGAATTTATGGAATACAGGATAATTACTCTAGTTAGAGACTTGATTCGTAGTTTATGCATGTTTTTGGATCATGCATTTGGGTAGAGATTTAAAAAGAGAAAAAAAGAGAAATGAAAAATATAAATAAAATATAAGCTAAATTTAAATTTTAAAAAAAAAATTCTCACTTTTTCTTTTATTTTTTCAAATGTCAACTTAAATTTATGCTCTAAACACATCATAAATGATTTTCTTTTATAAATGACTTCTGTGGAAATATAAAAATGTTAGAAACTTCAAAAGTTTTATTAAAAATTTTATCAAATATCTTACATAGGTGTAGGATTCACATAGAATTCATATAGTGTGGATTCTACACCTATATGAGACATTTAATAAAAAATTTAATAAAACTTTTAGAGTTTCTATCATTACTCATAGAAATATGCCAGTGTCAGAATGCGGAACAATTGTTGTATCATTTTTTTGATTAATTAAATTTGACATATGTGGAGAGTTATTGGACAAGTTTGGCTTTTTGGCAAATTTCTTTCTTGAACCATTTTGTGCTCCATTTATGGACACCGGTGAAATGCTGGTTGACAGGCGCATGGTTTGAGCGTTATTTTACCGTGAGTTGTTATTTGCAATTATTTATTTATTTTATTTTATTGGTACATCTTATTTACAAAAGTAAAATAATTATTTGCAATTTTTTTGAGTGCCTCGTTTACCGTTATATTTGCTTAATCATGTTGCACATGCCAATGTAGGTATGATGTTCTGATATCGATCTTTTGTGAAACTTCTTTTAACGCGTTTTTTTGACGTTTTTATGAGGTTAAAAATTTTAATGAGTTTTGAGGAGTTGGGTGGTTGCTGTTTAGCTTTTAAGATGTATTAAGTGAAACATATTTTAAAAAAATTAAATTGATTAAATATCGTTAGTCTTTTCATTAAATCATTGTGATTTGATGAAAAAGTTTATGTTTACTTAAACATTTGATTAAAGGTTCACTTACTTAAAACATATTCCTCTCTTTTCTTTTCTTTTTTGATTCTTTCAAAATACAAAAACATTTTATTACAACACCATCTTTACTTTTTTTTACACGTTTTTTTAAAAAAAAAAAAAATCAAATAACTAATTAAAATAATTTATTCACAAACCACATTTAGGCTTCGTTTGGGAAGCCCAACTTGGGGCTTTTTTTGGCTATTTTAGCCACAAAAAATAAAATAGGCTTTTTAGCTCAATAAGACAAAACATCACCTCTAACCCATAATCATTACATTTTTTCTCTCACAAAAAATGTCAAAAAAGTCAAAAAAATCAAAAGTCCTTTCTAAATCAGGTTTTTTAGCCTCAAACTAAAATAGTCAAAAAAAAAATTAAAAAACCAAAATTTTTACACGTTTTTTTAAAAAAAAAAAAATCAAATAACTAATTAAAAATAATTTATTCACAAACCACATTTAGGCGTCGTTTGGGAAGCCCACCTTGGGGCTTTTTTGGCTATTTTAATCACAAAAAATAAAATAGATTTTTTAGCTCAATAAGACAAAACATCACCTCTAACCCATAATTATTACATTTTTTCTCTCACAAAAAATGTCAAAAAAGTCAAAAAAATCAAAAGTCCTTTCTAAATCAGGTTTTTTAGCCTCAAACTAAAATAGTCAAAAAAAAAATTAAAAAACCAAAAAGTCAACTCAATTCCCAAATGAACCCTTAGGTTTTAGGGTAGCTGACAAATAGTGACCACAAGTCAATCATGCATCTCTCATGTCTCTGTGCGAACAAAATGCTTAAGGATTTGTATCTTGGATTTGGACCTCGCTTCCCGCTTAATGCTTAAGGATTTGTATCTTGGATTTTGATTTTACAATAAATTTATGAATGAAACTAATTAAAAAAAATTAAGAATTTTTTTAAAAAATAAATTATATTATTTTTAATAATTTTTTTTTGAATAAATTTAAAATTCAAGGGATTTTTATTGATAAATCCCATTTATGGGTGTTCTAACCCAATAAATCCTTGAAGAAAATTTATAACCTAATTAGTCCCATGTGTTTTTGTTGGACTATTATACTTTTATATTTATTGTTGATATACATTACAAACAAAAAAGATATACACGTTTTCTTTTTCATTATCCTTTTGTTTTGGCAGTTACCATGATTCACGCTTTTGATTGTGATTCAGTTTCACTCTCGTTGTGGTGTTGTTTATTGTGTTGGGGTTTCGTTGGTGTTGGAGGAAGATGACGAATCAAGACTGCATTAGTGTTATTTGTTTATACTCGGTTTTTTACGTAATTTTGCAAAGCCAAACATTGATAAGAGGGATAAAATGAGTAGATAATTTCGTCTCAAGATTAGTATTATTTTGTTTAGAGATGCATGTTCTATGTTTGGATTATATAAAGAATTGTATGCTCTGTTTTTTTCCTTTGAACTTCATTTTCTGGAATAGATGGAGATGCAAGTTTATTTTCGCTGAATGAGGTTATGATTTTTGTTTGGTAATACGTTCATATAGGGCTCTATTTTTGTTTTTATTTTTATTTTTGATGTTGTGAATGTTCACATTGCGTGATTATATCATTATGGGGGAATGTTTACATGTTTATTGCCATTATATTTGATGGTGTGAATTTGAACTTGTCTAATCTATAATGATGTGTAATGATGGCAATAAAATTTTCAATTTGGGATTAACAATGCAAAATATGGACATAACTATATTTTTTTGAAGAGGTGAATGTTCATATATTATTGGTCATTTCATGTTTATGGTATTATATTATTATAATGTGGGGTGTTCACTTTCTTATTTTTGTGTTTTTGCAACAGATGTATACCTTCATATATTAATGTATGTATGCTTATTGGGTGAGTATTTTAGTGAATGTGAGCGTTCACATTAACTGAAGTTATTATTGTTATGAATTATCATATTTTAATATTTTACATTTTATGATATGAACTTCAACATTAGAAACATGTGATGGTTGCATGACGTGTAATGTAGAGTAATGATTGCATGGTTATTGCATAATGTGAATGTTTACATATCACTGGTTATTGTATGAGTTTTACATGATTATTACATAGTGAATTATTACATTGTAATGTGTTGCAATTGATGTTGTGACCATCACACTATTAATCAATGTTAATATTCATATTTATAAATAGTCATACAAGCGTAAACAATATTAATGTGTTATTTTACCAACATACTTTTATAATGTGAAAGTTCATATCAACATTTATTTACCACAATTTATATTAAGCCAATTGTTATGTGTGTACAAATACAATTAACCACCAGCAATGTAGATGTTCACGGTGCCTACACTTCGATCGATGTGAATGTTCACAGTGTTGTTTCTTCACGTCGGAGTAAGGTAGACGATTTAGGATTTTGGGAATGTGAGAGATTTTCTCCCTAAAATAAGAAAGAGATTTTTTCCATAGAATAAATGAGAGATTTCTCCATTAAATAAGAGAGATTTTCTCACTAGAATAAGAGGGAAATTTTCTCCATGAAATGAGAAACAATTATTATTTTTTGAGAAATTTGCTGATAAGTCTCATACACAAAATTCAAAATCCATCTAATCCCAAAATAAAAAACTTGTACCAATTAGTCCTATATATTTTTAATTGTTACCAAAAAAATCTTTGTTTTTTTTTTTCAAAAAAATTTAAAGATGATGCTATATCTCATTACCACTGGAGTTTCATCAGAAGGTCATCGGAGACTCGCTAAAATGTTCAACATCACCGGGAAGTCACCGGAAAATTCGCCGGAGTATTGCAGAAATGTTTTGAATGTCACCAGAAGGATGTCGCCGAAGATTCATCGGAATGTTCTGAACGTCACCGGAAGTCGTTAGAATGTCTAGAATGTTTACTGGACGTCAAGAATATCGTTGGAAACTCACTGGAATGTCTATAATATTGCCAAAAAAAGAGGAAGAAGAAATTGAGAAATTAAAGTGAAAAAACATAGCAAAATGTGCTAAATATTGACAAAAAAAAAAACCTAAGAATAACAAACAACAATGGAAAAAAAAACATATGTTATTTTCAATTTTTGTAGGGTTTAAGCAAATAATTTCTAATATTGATTAAACTGAAAAACAAGCTTTGAAAATGTAAAATATTACATTTTCAAAGTATGATTCTATTAAATATTTATCTTTATTAATCAAACTGAAAACATATGTTATGAAACTGCTAAATTTTACAGTTCTGAAATAGTAAAATTTTACAACTTTCACTACCTGTAATTAAAACTCGAAAACAGCTTGTTCAAAACTTGAAAATTTTCTTCATTACAACAGAAAAATAGAAGTGTGTAGTACATAAAAACTATTAAAACTGATTGAGAGATCGAAGGAAAAAGATAAATATAGAGAGATGCTTATACTCCGACAACTATTTTTTTTTTTTGGTTTAGATCTAGTTGGATCTAATGTAGATCTACTTCTTCGTCAAATACTCATCTTTTTCGCCATCAGTGAACACGAAGTAAGGAGTTGGTGCCTAGTGGTTGCCGTGAACCCCAATCAATGATGGCCGCTGGTCGCCGGTGACTGTAGATTAGAAAGAGAGAAAAAAGAAAAGACAAAAAAAAAAAAAAAAGGAAGGCACGGTCATCGTCGTCATCGATATCAGAGAAAAGGAGATAAAGAGATAAAGAGAAGAAGCAAGGGGTAGGGAAGAGATGATAAGATAAATGGGTATAGGACTTTTGGGTCTGTCTAAAAAGTTTTGGAATTAAATAGAATACACACTTTTCAGAAAGGATTTCTAGGTAATTTGCCCTAATTTTTTATTGTATATTAGTTTCAAAATGGAAACATGCTCAAAAATTTTGGAAGGATGATTTGGTCATATTACCTTAAACAAAACCTAATAGAATATTATAAAAGAAAATGGGTTAAATGAAATATAACATTTAAGAATAAGACTTTCTGAAAAATGACCCAAATTCAAACACAACTAAATGCGAAAAAGAATATTTTCGTTTAATTAATA